CACCCACTTTGCAAAGGCCAGCAATAATAACAAAAGCAGTGTAAACAAATGGTGTCTTTACATACTCCCATTTCCAGCTGGCAACGTGGATGCCGTGAACATCCGAGGCTCCAGTTTCCGAGTCATTACTTTTATTACTCTCTTTTTCTATTGCTTTATGGTACAAGTACATAGCTTTTCCATCTTCTTTGATGGATTCGGACGGAACCGGAAATAGCGCTGATGATTCAGTCGTCACAGCCGATCGACGAAGAAGGTTTACAGTCTTGAGGTGCTGGTGACGTATTGGGTGTGGTTTTATTGCATTTCCTGTAAGATAAGTTTAATTTAGATTCGTTTAAATCGAAGTTTCTTTCCAAACTCTTTTAATGTGGTCTTTTGTCTTGCACAGAGTGCTTATAATTACCCATATCTCTACACATTGAAAACCCCCGTAGTTAATTTTTGTCTTAAACAATAATGTACATATATGTATTCTGCTCAAGTATTAATTATGTACAATATTTTTATTAGTTCACTTCTTGTCTTCATTGTCAGTCTTAGCACTAACTTTAAAGTGAATAGATAAATAGAAAATAAAAATTACGCTTAACGACACGAATTGAACAAAATGATATTGATAAAAGAACACAAACATAAGCTTTCAGCCCCCTTTTCAGAGACGTTAAGAAGGGTTGTTATCAGCCAGACAACTTAGGGTTAAGTTTTTATTCTTTTAGCATTAGCAATTATTAGTAGACTGTACAGTACGCTACGTTTGAAACGTTCTTGTTAACCCTAAAGGCCTTCATACAGGATTCCCGACTGTTCAGTGATAATCTCGAGTGCTTCAAAGTATAAAATTCTGTATTTCAACCCTGATGTGGGTACAGTGCACAGTCCATTGTATAGCTAGCTTTACGCTGAGCAAAACACACACACACATAAACACACGCTTTCAGCTGCACAATGTGATATATCTGTACAAAGTGTCCACATAAACGTAAGAAATGCTTGTTTTACGTTACGATGTTGTCATATCCATAGTACGAGCTTCAATATCGGGTATCTATACGTATAGAGCAGAATGTTTAACCAACCACATTCAAACCTGGCACGAACCCTTAGGCCTTGGGTAGTATCATAAGACTCCCCATCTCTTATACAAGCTATTTATTGGGAAGTGGACAGGTAGTCGGCGACAACGCGCGAGCACTCACATACACATAGGTTTCTCATTCGCTACTACCCCCGAAACCAGTGAGCCTCACCAAAATAAGAAATAAAGGCCCACGGAAGGATACAAATATTTATCCACTTCGGTTCTACTGCAACAAGTTGTGTTCCCCATGCGTTGAATGTGTATGTATAGTAAACTATAATGTATAGTTTTTAGAAGAATCTTGAAATAAACCAAAACTGAATGTAGAGCTTCAATTTCATCTTTTCTTATTAAAATAATAATACAAACAAAAAAGATCAAAATGGGAGCGACTAATTCAAAAACATATTTGATAAATTTTTCAATGTTAAAAATATCATTTTATTGATTCCACCTAATGCACTGCCCTAACTAAGCTGATAATGCTTAAATAAGCAGTTTTAGGTTTGTCATTTGACTTCAGTTGCCTGAAATTGGTTTGTTGAATTTCGCGCAAAAATACACGAGAGCTATCTGCACCAGTCGTCCCTAATTTTGAATTAATAGATAAAAAGTAGATAGTCAAGACCATCAACCGCCATCTCTTAGACTGTTCTTGTCAAACCAAATAGTGGGATTTAATCGTCACTCTTATAATGCACCCGTGTCCCGAAAGTACGGAGTGCGTTATTGTTTTGCAGTAACGGGACACGAACCACGAACCCACAGTTCGACAAGCTAACCACTTTGCCTAAACTAATACGTATCTTACTTTGACTTCAGGTAGATACTTTGTGTTTAATATAACGTAAGACTATTTATTCCTGATTTATTAACCATTACAATATCGAACTGCATCTGTTTTATATGTATCTATAACCAGGGATAGAAATGATTAAATAAAATTACATTCATTCAATGGAAAGCTATCAGGAAGATTACATTCTCACATATAAAGTTGCATTTCCTCATGAAATGTTATTTTATTATTTAAACCATGCAATATGTGCACTTCCATTAGTCGTAACTAAAGGATGGACCATGCATTCCCAATCGGGAAAGCCAATTAAAAAAGATGAAATTCCTCAAGCAAAGTTAAATTCCTTAGGGAATGCAATATTTTGATCCTTGTCTACGACATGTACGTATGTGTGTATATATTTGTTTTTAGGCAGAAGTTTTCATAACTCAAATTATTCTGCTATCATAATTACTTTTACACCATTTAAAGAAAAGGTTAAGTCATTGTATATAAAAAAAATAATAAGTATACGATCAAATTACGTTAATAGGGGTCTAAAATTAAGGTTTTATAATCCAAATGTTGACCACAAAATTATTTTATCCTTCCCGTGAATTTTAACCGTTTCACTTTATTTTCAGTTTAATTGATATGAAGACCACTTTTAAGCTTTCTTCAATACAACACAATAATCCTGGGGTAATATTGTCATTTTGATTCAAAGAAGCAAATTTCATTCATAATCTGTTATAAGTTTTAGCTTTTTTTATATTCTACACGTAAATTCATGAAACAAAGTAAGAATGGAAGAACGCTAGATGGGTTATTTTTCATTGCTCTATCACTAGTGTTAAAAATTCCAAATAGATTAACTTTTGACAAACGAATAACTCTTTTCATTGTTGGAAAAATGTTGATAAGGTTACTTTATTGTAACTCTTAATCCTCAGGCTCCAACAATGGACAATTACACTGACTGATACACAGAAATAGATAAGTAGATTAATAGATTGTTTCTAGTCATGTGGCACAAGAGGACAACAGCTCTTAGTTAAACAATACACAAATTACAAAGCAAAAAAAAAAGGTGTAAATGAAACCAGAATATTAAAATAATAAATACATTCCAATATACTAGAAAACAAACACGTAGAAAAGACAATAACAAAATAGGGCTGATCAGCAAGAAAGGAGTGGAGAATATACATAAATAGATCATATATATATATATTTGAATACAACTCACCCACTTTGCAAAGGCCAGCAATAATAACAAAAGCAGTGCCAGCAATCTGTATGCTTTATCTAAATAGGAACATCTTTAATCTGAAAAGCAATCATGTTTTTAATATCATCAATATGTAGGCGAGTTTTAAAATAATCTTATTGATATTCCTAATCCTCCCACCTTACTTTTACACGTTTTTTTTTTTTTACTTTATATTATATATATATATAATATAAGTAAAAAAATATATATATACTCCAACTCCCTCTGTCGTTAATAAGAGTACCACCAGCATACTGGTGTGCTTGTTCGGCGCAAGAATAAAACTATTTATGAACTGACACAAAGCCACAAAGACCATTAAATAATACGTAATATTTCAACATATACAGACCTGTTCAACTAATTAAAACTGTAATTATAGCACAGTAAATAGTTAATGCATCATCTCAAACAATAATTAGTTATTGAGTCATCTTATTAACCAGTATCTAACGAGTCGTCTATAAACTAGTAGTTAATCATTCTATAAAGCAGTGCTTAATGATTTACTTTATATAGAAATGAGTACTTGAGTTATATTATAAACCACTTGCGTTATTAACAAGTCTCGTTAAAAACCAGTTGTTAGCAAATAAATCAGGAGTTAGGGAGTCATCTTAACCGGTAGTTAACGAGTTATGATATAGAGTAATAATATTTTAAATGCAGAGATTAAAACAGTAAATGAAACTTTCTGCCGGTCAACATAATAAAGATCAAGGGTCTCCGATACATCCTTTTAAGCATTAAATACTCAGATCAGTTGTTTCTAGGATGATCACTAAACATAGGACTTTTTGCCACTTGAATTCACGTTCTAATAGTTAAAATTATGGATCGGTTAACATACATATTGGTTATTTCAAGAAACATTGAGGCAATAACTGTATAAATCAGTTTCCACAAGGGCAACTTACTGATCAATAACTTACAAGTTCAGATTTTTTAAAGGCAGATATAGAATATGTATTTACAAGTTGAGTTTTTTTTTAAAAGGCAGATATGGAATATATCTGTACATTCGTGCATGACTCTTCCAATGCTACTAAACCTTTTTTTCCCTATTTTAAAGCAAATTAATACACGTTGAATCTAGATGTATTGTAACAACCAATTCTCCTATAAACTTTGGATAACAACGGGTCACGATAATGTAATGACATTAGATCTCTGACCAAATCATCTATACAAATAACGTCCGATGCATAAAAAAAAACGTATCTTTTATATGCAATTCTAAAAAAATTGGCGACAAGCGCAGATCACCGTGGCGGATAGCGAAAGATTTAAACCTCTATGCTGATCCTTTTCCATCGTCCGTAATTGCACTTTTAAGTAATTCGTGCACTTCCGATGTGTTCGGATATATCAGACTTCAAAAGACGTTTTATGACTGGTCAACTAGTCAATTAAAATGAATCACATGTATCGATCCGAGTGTAGTATCAACATCAAAGAAGGTAAGGCAATCTCTGTTTGATCTGAATTTTACGCAAAGCTACACGAAGGCTATCTGCGCTAGCCGACCCTAATTTACTACTGTCATCACCACCCACCGCCAATTCTTGGGCTACTCTTTTACCAACGAATAGTGGGATTGACCGTCACATTATAACGCCCCCATGACCCTCAGATTGCAAGTCGAGCCCCCCCCCCCAACCACCTGTCCATACCGGGCCAGCAATCTCTGAAGTGCCTACTGGTACTAATACCCCCTCCCCCAAATCCTCCCAAAGTTTTTCATCGACTTTGAACGAACTAGGTGGGTGGCAAAAGGCGAAAGTTCGCCAGTTCTTATCCCTGTATATGAGACTTTTCTCCTCACAAGTTTAAATATTATTTTTTTATTACCAGTACGTAACGAACAGGAAATGTTGTGCGTCCTGTCTTGGTAATATTTTCATGCGTTCATGTTCATACTAAACACAGCCGCATTTCTACTACTGTAAACTCTGTATCATGGGTCTTGGATGTCGTTCTATTACTTGGATATACAAAAAAAGTTGGTTCGCACACAGAGCTAAACGGCCAGAAACCAGTATCGTTCAGGTATAGCCAGGCGTCCCTAGTTTCGAATTGCAAGCTAAGAGAGAAGGCCATCAGTCAACAGCACCACCGCCTGAAGCGGCTACTTTTAACCTATTAGTGGGATTGATTGTTACCGCTGAAGGTGCGGA